TGAAGAAATAATAACCTTGTTTAAATATTTTTTGATTAAAACCCACAAATCCAAGAAACCCTGTGAACCCCAAACTCAGGAAAGACGATGAAAACCACAGCACAGCACAGCAGAAGCACTCCCTTCTCTCTGCCCACAGGCACTTGGCACAGGAGAGGAAAAGCAACCTCCCCTAGAGAGCCTTGAGAAAAGCAGTTTCGCAGGGCAGAGCCAGGCTTCAGTTCTGGTAGAAGGTAGAGTGAGGTGAGCCAGGTGGTAGAATCGAGTCCAGAGAGCATTATGAGAAGGATTCAAATAGGAGAACAGTCAGGGAGGAACACCCACAGAGGAATGAAGATGCAGGAAATAAGGTCCATGACCACATTGAACTGGTAATGCCTGTACTTGGAAGATGTGGCTAGCTCTAAGTTTTCCAAAGAGTATCCCTGAGTGTCCCAAGGGGCCTTTATTTGTTCAGGACAGCACATTCCTTCTGTTAAATGCTCCTTCTACCATGTGTGTCGTCTGGGTCTCACCATTTTCCGCAAACACCATCTCCTCAATCTCTGTGGTTTGAGCAGGGATGAAGAGTTGATGTAAGCAAACCTACCCTCCCCCTGGAGCTTTGCCATCAGGAACAGAGGGGCAAGTTGTAGTCAATTGTTGGGGGACCACCACAAAGTGGAAGATGTGTGTCTACAGGTTGCTGGCGGCCACGTGCCTCACTTGTGAAGAAAGCTCACCAGGGGAGAGTAAAGGCAATGGAAGGAGGCCTGATGGCATTCCAGTCTCTTTCGGTCATCCCCAAAGCCTGCCGCGCTCTGGCCCTTCCCACAGTTTGGTTACATGAACTGTTAAATTGCCCTGTCTTCCTAAGTTAGTACAACCAGTATGTTGAACATGCAGGAAACATGGAGGGAGAGTCACAGACACCTTTATTTTGTCTCCTGCTATTCCCCTAAAATATTTTCATACCTCTGAGGTAATAAAAATTCCATGGTCACATTGTGTCGCCAATTCCAGAAGTAGAGTGTCCCATCTTATGAAACAGTCATAACTTTCAGTTCATACAAAACTGCAGTGGTTTCCCCTTCTCGCATCAGGGATTAGTGCTAGTGGGTGCCAGGGAAGGACATGCCCTCCTCTGTCTGTCTCCTTGACTCCTTCTTTTGCTACTGCCTATTGCTTCTGACCTCTCTGGGATTGCTGTGGAAGGGAGAAAGAACATGAGCAGAAGAGACCTAGGCTAGTGGTTTTTGTTTGTTATTAGAGAGAGGCTCTTGCTCTGTCATCCAGGCTGGAATACAGTATGTGATCATAGTTCACTGCAGCCTCCAACTACTGGGCTCAAGCAATCTTCCTGCCTTAACCTCCAGAGTAACTGGGACTACAGGCACATGCCACCATGCCTGACATTTGTTTTTTGTCTTTGTTTTTGTTTTGTTTTGATGTACTTCTCATTATATTGCTCAGGCTGGTCTTGAACTTCTGGGCTCAAGCGATTACCCTGCCTTAGCCTACCAAAGTGCTGAGATTACAGGTGTGAGCCACCACACCCAGCCCTGGCAGGTGTTTAAAACTGACTCATGTGGGCTACTCTTGTGGATATTTTGGAGACCCCTTTTCGTCTCGGGGACCTCTCAGCAGGTCCCCTGGTTTGGGTAGTGCCCTTGTTTCAGCCTTGTCCTTTATGCTTTCTGTAGCTTCTGGGAATCCTAATGTCTAACTCCTGCTTCTGTTGGCTGAGGGCCTGTCAACCCTTTGGGCAGATGTTTTGGAGAGGATCTCGTACAACCTCATTCTAGGACCTTTGCACATCCTTAACGTCACAGGTTCTTTTTTTCTTTTCTTTTCTTTTCTTTTCTTTTTTTTTTTTTTTGAGTAGGAGTCTCACTTTTTCATCCAGGCTGGAGTGCAGTGACATGCTCACAGCCACCACAGCCTCAACCTGCTGGGCTCAGGTGATCCTTCCACCTCAGCCTCCCAGGTAGCCGGAACTACAGGCTAGCGCCACCATGCCCAGCTAATTTTTTGATTTATTGTAGAGATGAGGTCTCACCAAGTTTTCTGGACTGATCTCAAACCTGGACGTCACAGATTCTGGCAGTGAAAGTCGGCCCTAGTGCAACTGTCTCCTGCAACCAGCCAACCCATTTAATGTCCTTTAGACTTGTCAGGTAGGAGGAAGGCCCCAGGCAGCCCACTGTGTTCCTCATATCTTAAGGGGCTTCCCTCATGGGGTTGGAGTTCTGCCCTTTAAGAGAGGCAGGGCTCATGACATAGCTTTTCCTGAATAAATTTTTCAAGTCTCCTCTGTCTTTATCTCTAACAATTTGATGTAGGGAAAGCCTTTAGAATTATGTGACAAGTTTTCAGATATCTCCTTTGAAAAATCTACCTCACTTTGGTCTGAAATTTATCACTTTAGAGGCTTAGCTGAAACTTTCTTTTTAGCATCTTGTCATACTAATTTGATTTGGATTTATGAGTGTTGTGTCCAAATAATCTTGATATAACAGTCAACAGACATGTACTGTGTGCAGCCACAGCCCTTATGGGCTGTCAGTCTAGGACAGTTTACGGACTTATAGCCCTCTGGCTGAGTCCTGCCCAAGGCATATTTTGGTTGACCCACATAGTCTAGATTTTTCTTGAGTCTACTGCTAATATTTACAAACTGAGAAATGTTACCTAAAAAAATTCCAGATTCCAGAGAATGTGCTGACGAGGGGCCTGCATTGCTGCCTGGCATCACTAGCTGGAGCTGGTGGAAGCTGCCCTTTGGCAGGGCATGCCATCCCCAGATAGACTCCATTTCCTCTGGACTCTGACATGGAAGCCAGCTGCCATTGAAATGTCAGTTGCCATTTATCATTGGGTGCTCACACAGTTTACCTTTTCTGAAAGAATGAAGCAAAATGTTTCTGGTCCTCATGTCTCTTCATAAAAAAGAGAAAGCAAGAGATAGACCAACAGAGCCATGTAGGGACAAATTTCTTTAGTTAGAAATGCAAAGTGTTCTCATGTTTAATGTGTAATTGTGTGTGTGTGTGTGTGTGTGTGTGTGTGTGTGTGTGTGTAGAAAACAAAACTGAAGATACCATTGGAAAATAAACCATGGATACAATTATTTTTGCTACACAGAAAATATGTGTGGGGGGGTGGGCAGTGAATTGAATAAAGCCATTTTAGCAGGGTTTGCTTTTTAATGCAGCTAAAGTCAGTGGTGTGAGCAGCTGCAAAAGGGTGTTACATTCTTCCACTTCCCTCATTTGTGTTATGTTCTTGCCTGGCCCCTGACATTTGAGTTTGCAATAAGGGGGAAAACATTCTCTGGGCTCTCTGGAAGGAATCCACCAAAGCATGGGTTCATTATCTGTCCAAGGGAGTCTTAACCCAGGTCTGAGGAGCAGTTGCACAGAGTTGCCCTGCAATGGGGACCACACAGAGAAAAACCGACAGGTGTTTGGCAAGTTGATGAGGTTTCCTTTTCACGGAATGACGAAATACAATTGTTGAAAGAGTACTAAACTTTGAAATGAACTCTTTTTTCAAGTTGTGATTTTAGTTTTATTTTAAATTTAAGGTTTTTTTGTTTGTCTTACCAGTGTTTTTGATGTATTAAGGAAAGTCTCTCAACCATTTGTCAGCATTAAAGCAAAACCAGAATTATTTTGTGGAACGGCTTTCACTTGCCCAAGAGTATTCTCTTGGGAAGCAAGCCTTCTGCTGTGTTATGTGTCCTCGTCGGTCTCTTCAATTTTAAGAAGAGATTTGTTCTGTCACTGCAGCTCACATGATTTTTGAAAGCCATGAGTCTGGTCTTAATTGGACTTGCGGAATGACTCCTGTGAGGTACTCGTCAGTGTGTGTAACTTCCCTCTCTTGGCCATTCATTTCTTACTAAAGACTGAATTCCTTGAAAGTCTTACTGCTTGTTCTTCCTAATGTGTGTTGGTCTTAGATTCTGCTTTACCCTCAGATTGAGCCAGGGCAGCTTTGAACTGCATTCCCAGGATACCTTATTTTGGAACACACACACACACACACACACCCTTTCTTTGTGATCACTAAGCAGAGCTGTAAGAAACAATCCTGACCCTGACACTTCCTATCATTTTTCTTATAAAAATATTTCTTATAAAAAAAGGACACAAATTTCCCTGAAGTCTTAGTACAAAGCATAGCTGTGATTCTCCTAGTTTATTTTGTGAATACTGTGAACCATGAAATCAGTACTTTGCACTTCGTCTCAGCTGTAGAAATCTTGGGGACAGATCTGTAATTCACCTCCAGTGAGCACATGGGGCCTTGGGACATTTACTTTTGATATTCTTACCCCAGCTGCATTTTATTATTTTTCCTATGCTTTTCCCCTTTGGCCTCCAGATTCTTCCCCTTTAAAATCATGTACTCCATACAATATTGTAGAACTACTTCAACATCATGTTAGGATGAGGCAAGATGTAAAGAAATTAAATCAATTGAAATATTAATGGTAGATCATTTGCTGCAAACATCTTGCCAATTAATTTTTGAATTTTATTCTAAACTTCCTATTCATATAATCCCATCTATTGGTTCTTTCTTATGACCATGAAGAGAACTGTTGCCATGGATTTAAGGACTCCTTGGCTATCACATCTTTACCCCATAATTAACATGACTTATTCAATAAATGTGCTTAGAACTAAGAGGAAGCAGATATTGCTTCTGACCCTCTTCTCCAGAGTCCAGTTTTGTTGTTTCCAAATTTCAGTCCCAAATACCACATTTATGCAGGAAGGCAGTTATATACCAGTACAGGTATGGTTGGCCAAGGCAGCCTGGGAAATGTCTGGCATTGAACCAGGTCCTTCACAAAACAGATGTTCAGCTTGGTTCTGTTCTTTGAAGCAGCTGAATTATATTTTTTTCCAAAGGCTATCTGTCCCCATGGTCTGGATCTGGGGGCTGAAGTCTGCTAGTGTCAGTAGTGGCTTGACTTCAGTGACATTTTCTGCTTTTCTTTTCTTTTTCAGAGTATGATCGGTTGGGCTTTCTCCTGAATCTGGACTCTAAACTGTGAGTAGACTGAGAAGATTCGTTGGCTCTGTGGCAGAGAGGTCTGTGAGGGCTGGTCTCACTTTGAAGGGCCAGCTCTCATCACTCCTGTGGTTTTTGAGGGACTCCTTGGGGCCTTTGTCCTTAGGCTGTCAACATAATCTTGGAGCATGTTACAGTCTGCAGGGGCCTGGAGAGGATGGGCTGGTGGATTCGAGCCTAAGGGCTTTGATTTGGCTGGCACAGGCAGCTCCTAACCGAAGGAGGCCTCTGCCAGGTGTTTGAGGGGCTAGGAAATCCCTAGAAAGTCTCCTCCTACAGAAGGGAGTAAGGGTGAGGTCACAGCTGGAAGCAGGGGCCTCCGAAAGATGCTCTGCCACCTAGCATGTACAGCCTTCCGTGATTAGTCCTGTCTTCCTCTCTGACTTCAGTTCTTGTCATTCTTGCCACAAGGGAACCCTCTTTTTCCCTCTACCTTTGCATATGCTTGTTATCTGTGTCTAAAATTCTTTTTCCTTGCTAGTCTGCTTGGAAAACTCAAAGATTGCTTCCTTTTCACACAAAATTGTCTTCCTCTATGCTTCCTGTGAATTTTCTACCTCTGTTACCAATTATCTCACTGTACTATAGTTAACTATGTAATAACTATTCATTTATTAAGGCCACAGGCTCAGAGCCAGGCAAAGCTTGGTTCAAATCCCAGATCACCATTTATTTTCTTTTTTGATTTGGGGTAAGCTACTTAACCATTCTAAGCCTCAGTTTCATCTGTAAGATAAAGATGACAATAAACATACTTCACTTGGTTGTTGTAAGGATTTAATTGAAATGATCAATTCATAGGGGGCTGTTACAACAAAGTATCTAATCCTTCCAGGATTCTTCCCTATTCTGGCCTTCTTGGTGTCTCTGATGCCTAGACAGTACTGGCATATATTTGTTAGGTGCTCATTAAACACTGAATGTTTGGATGGATGCATGGATGGATGGATGGATGGATGGATGGATGGATGGATGGACGGACGGACGGACGGACGGGTGGATGACCATGAATTCCCTATTTGACCAGCATGCCTGGAGTTGGAGCTCTGTGGACTCTGTGTGTTGATGCCCTGTACAAGACTACTCATATGGTTGATACTTAATAAATACTTGCAGAATGTCCTTACCACCTACTGTGGCTCCTTTCTGTTGTTAGTCATCTTTGTGCACCTATGTCCCCTTCCTGTACCAGAGAGACATCATGAAGAATCATGATCCTTTACTCTCTTCCACAGCTACTTCTGATGGTGATGCCCACACCCATACAAGACATCACACCAGGACCTGATTGGTTTTCCCCACTGAACAGTTTGGCATCTGGCTCCTTTTCTTGGAATCTGGTTTCTTGGCTTTTGGTGCCTTATACTATGAGTTCAGGCATTGTGACTCTCCTAGATTTTATACATCATGGAGGCAATTACAAGGGAAGAATGGTCTGCTCTTTATACCAGGCTAGTAGAGAGATGTCAGCCACATGTTAATATCTGGAGAATGGGGCTTGGTGGTGTAAGAAAGCCACAAGCTTCACTCTTATAAAATTTTTAATTTAGTGCTCTAGGCAAACAACAGATAGAGTTTACAAGGGGAGACCCCAAAAAACAGAATTTATTTATAAAAAATTGTGTATGTATTCTTACATGTTTAAACTTCAGTCATCTTCGAAGTACTCTGTTTGATGCAGTACACCCATTGAGATGCTTTCCTCATTGCTCAGAACAGTTTTTGAACTCATCAATTTTGATGCCTTTTGGTGCTTCTGCCATTTTTTGTTTCACTTCTTCCACATCAGCAAAACATTTCCCTTTGAGGACTTTTTTCATCCAGGGAAACAAACCAAAAAAAAGTCACTTGGGTGAGATTGGGAGAATAGGGAGGGTGGGGCATGGAGGTCATGCTGTTTTTGGTCAAAAACTGCTGAACACTCAGCATGGTGTGAGCAGGCGCGCTCATAAATCACCCATCATGACATGGGCAACTGCATGGAAAGACTCTCCAAAAAAAATTGACTGAAGCCAAATGCAGCCTTTTATAACTCTAGCTGGTACACTGATGCCAATGGGTTCCTAGAACACTTACCTAGTGAGGGAAGCATGTACTATAAGGAGCCCATCCTCCAAAAGATAATTCTAGTTTATTTGGGATCCTCCCCCATAAGCCATAGCAAGTGAAATGCTGCAGAACAGAAGAGATGTAGTAATTACCAAGTTGAATCACACTGATGAACAAAAGGCATGTGATCTAGGACTTGTTAACTACAGTATTTAAACTGTGTTCAACAGTGAAAGGAGACTAGGAGAATACCCCTGCCCTGCTTTCCTGACAGCTGGGTGGTACAGAGACTGTTGTGTAGCTTTCTGTTGTATACCAGGCCAGTTCCATGAACCATGTGAGTCAACTTGGCCTTTAGCGCAATATATTGGCTTGACCTCATTTAACTTAACTCACAATCTAAGATACAAGCTAGAACTTTCTTGCCTCTTGCTGCAAAGGTTTTTCTAGCTTAATGCCATCTTCAGAAGAAAGCAGAGATATGTGATAATGTTTTCTACCTACTTCCAGGGAGAAGTTTCCAAGTTAAGGATTCTGCTTTTAGGGGGCAATACCACAGCAAAGTTCAGATTCTCTCCACCAAGTCTGTTTCTGGTTATGTTGTATTCTATTTCTGATGTGTAGGAAAGGACCTCAACTTGGATCAGAACTGGATTTGGATTCTGCCTTTGTTGCTTAGTGTTATATGACCTTAGATAGCTTTTTTAGTTTTCTGAATCCCAATTTTCCTTTATGAAAAGTATAGAAATAATACTCATTTCCTGTGGTTTATGAGGAATAAAAGAAAGGGTTCTATAAAGTATGAACACATATGCAAATGTAAGGCTTTCTTTTTATTTAGCTTGAGTTGGATTCATTTAGCTTATTTTATTTATTTGTTTGTTTTTAAATTTCTTGTTTGTTGATTTTGAGACAGGGGTCTCACTATTTTGCCCAGGCTAGTCTTGAACTCCTGAGCTCAGGTGATCTTCCTGCCTCAGCATCCTAAGTAGCTGGGACTACAGGTACCCATTTAGCTTCTTGAATATAAGAATTTCATATGCTCTGAAAACTTTTCAGGCATTATCACTCTCTTTTTTTTGAGTTGGGGTCTCATTCTGTCACCCAAACTGGAGTGCAGTGACACGATCACAGCTCACGGTAGTCTCGACTTCCTGTGCTCAGGCAATCCTATCTCACCCTCCTGAGTAGCTGGGTCTACAGATGTGTGCCACCACACTGAGCTAATTTTTAAATTATTTGTAGAGGCTAGGTCTCACTACATTGCCTAGGGTGGTCTCAAACTCCTGGGCTCAACCAATTCTTCTGCCTTGGCCTTCCAAAGTCGCTGGGTTTACCGGCATGAGCCACCACACTTGGTCTCATTATCTCTTTAAATATTGCCTCTGCTCTACTCTCCACTTCTCTTCTGAAACTCTTATTAAATTTTAGACCTTCTCATTCTAACCTCCAGGTCTATTAACTTCTCTTTCATAGTTTTCATCTTTTGATTTTTTTCCACATTAACTAGAACCTTCAAGAACTCAGCATGAGGATAAACTGGAACAAAACCTGCACTCCCAAGCCAGGACTGCAGGACAGGTTATCATAGTTCTGAGTAGATCAGGGCAAAAAGTTAATGAAATGAAAACACTTGATATTAGTTGCCAGTTTCATCACTAAGGAGATATAGGGAACTTCAAACTGTGAACTCAGTTTAAGGTATATCAGACTGGCAGTGCCTCCAAGCACCTGGCAGAAGCAAATGCAAACTCTCTCTAGAGGAAGACATATGAATTCCTCACAAATAGCTTTTCAAGGAAATGAGCAATTCACAGTAAAAAATAACTAAACACACAAGGGAACAAACTTCCATTTAGTGAGAACCATGAAAAAACAACAGGCCACAGAGGAGGACCCACAAAGATTTCAGAAATTGGAATTATCAGATGCAGTTTCTAAAGCAATTAAATATACTGTACTTAAAGAAATAAAAGACAGTAGTGAACTATATGCATGGAATAAGTAATTATGAAAAGTAGAATATCAAGGCTGGGCGTGTTGGCTCACACTTGTAATTCTAGTACTTTTGGGAGGCCAAGGCAGAAGGATTATTTGAACCCAGAAGTTCAAGATCAGCTTAGGCAACATAGTGAGACTCATCTCTTAAAAAAACTTAAAAAGTAAAACATCAGATTTGAAAAATAATGAACTTCTAGAATTGAAAAGTACAATGACGAAAATTAAAAACTCAATAAAAGGGGTTAGCAGCAGATTAGGTACAACTGAAGACAGATTTAGTGAACTAGAAGATAAGTGAGAGAAATTCTTTATAACAGATTAGCAAGCTTTTTCTGCAAAGGGCCAGAAAAATCCTAAATAATTTAGGATTTGCGGGCCTTGTTTCTGTCATAACTACTCAACTCGGCTGTTTTAATATGAAAGCATCCATGGACAGCACACAGCTGAATGAGTGTGGCTATAATCCAATAAAACATATGGACACTGAAATTTTAATATTATATCATTTTTATGTATCATAAAGTATGCTTCTTTTGATTTTTTCCCCATCATTAAAAATGTAAAAGACATTATTAACTCATGGGTCATATAAAAAAGCAGATGGGTTGGCTTTGGCCCAGAAGTCGTGTTTGGCTGACCCTTGATTGAGAATGCAACACAGCTATATCTGCATAGGAAGTATCTCCTCACCCCAGGTGTTTTCTATTCTTGAAACCTTATTGCGTAGAAATAATCTTAAAATACTTTTATGTTTAATGATAGTCCCAAAGTCTGGAAATTGATGTTTGGGGTTTTTTGCCTTCACTATATTCTTTTAATTATGCCTTTCTTGAATAAAGGCCTTTCTGGAATAAAGAGATTGGTTCGTATTTCCCTTGAGAATTCCTTGCTGCTTGGATCTACATGACAAAATCACTTGTCGGTGCCAT